TCTTCCACAAGCTGCTAGCTTGACAGCTATGAGTGCTAACAAAAGCCATGTTTATCAGTTATGTTCATAATGATCATTTTGTAGGAGTGGCTTTGGGAGGCCTGAATTGACGGGCTGGCAGTGTTTCTGACTTAGTGTGTGTTTGTGTATCTGCAGCACCATCACGCATGCCATCACAACCTAAACCGGTTTCCATGCTGCTACACCGTGTGAAGCACAACGCTGTATGAGTATGTATTCAGTCTATAAAAAGTAATAAACACGACCCCCCCATAAGAAAACAGTCCAAAATTAATTTAAGAAGCAGAAACTAGAGGATGTCCTGCATTTTTTGCCCTCAAAATGAACTGATGTTATTAATTCAACAAACAAACTGTGCTTGGAAGTTAATTGTTGGATACAGACATGTCAGGTCCTGCAAGGAAATCTCCTGTAACCTCTCACTGCCCCTCCTCCTGGGATGGCCCAATAGGCTGACTCAACTCCTTCCTTGTTTACATACACATTAGTTTGTAGTAGAGTCAATCTAACCAGTAAAGTTTGTCACCGCTCAACCAGTTTCCCTTTTTTCTCTGATGTAGAAGTTGGGGAGTTTTTTTTTTCTTCCTTTTGCGTGTGTTTTCTCATCAACCATCATAACGTGGAGGGTAAGGTTCAGTACTTTAACCTAGTTTTGTTTCTTGTCATCTTTTCATCAGTGTGTAGCGTGCTGTATGTGATCTGCCGGGGCATGTTTGAGTCCCCGTGGGCTCCTGTACATGCGTGTGTGTGTGTGTATTTGTACATTTGTAACACTTTTTTCTTCTCCTTGTGCTGGGAAGCTTTTAGTACTGTCTCGGGTTTATTTTGTATTCACTTGAGTCAGTGAGAGAGTCGGATGAAGGGAGGCACGTTGTTGCATGTTTTAGTAGTTTACAGTTAGTCTATCAGCAGAAAATTAATCAGCAGCTATTTTGATATTTGATTTATCATTATTTTTTGTGTGTGGGTTTTGGACTATTGGGTTGTTGGAAAATTGTGACGTACATTAAAAAAACAACTAATCGATTAATTTAGAGAATAATCTACAGATGAATCAGTCATGGCAATACACAGTACTTCATCCTGGAGAAGTTCTCCAGGTGTCCACTGATTATTTTTAATTAAATGGCATTGCAGAAATGTAATATCTTCAAAAAGCAATGCATGCTTTATTACAGTAATATCACAGGAGTTGATTTTTGACGATCAAATTCATCACAGGTAAAAAATAAAATAATATTTAGCTTATTACTTTAAAAAGGGGGGGGGGGGACAGACAAAATGTAGTAGTAAGTAACTCGCCACCATTTCAGATACATTTCACTCTGTCAGAAGTACTTTTTGCCACTTTCCTCTGGATCCAGGCTCTTTTTCAAGTGTTCTTTTCCAGTTTGGCTGTCAGCGGCAGTCGGTGGGCAGTCTGAACGTTACCCTAACAGTTAATCTCTTTACACAAAAGGGCACTTTGTTATGGCAGCTGCTTTGCTACAAAATGCAAATCTGTTACATGTTTTCTAAATTCTCTCTCTCTCTCTCGCTCTCTGCATCCTCGCTAACAGATTCCTCAGAGGTTTAACTTCCACCTCTCAGTAACCGCTTAGTCCATCGAAGTGCAAACTGTTGATTTTGTGTGTTTTGTTGTTGTGGAGTTTTTTTTTTTTTACCTTGTAGCAGGTCACAAACAGAGACGGAGGAATTTTGAACAAGAGGGACAAGTAACTAAAAAGTGTTGCCTTGCCTCCACCCCTATCCACGCCCCCCCCCCCCTCTACCCCTCTCCGTCTGTCACATGTTCCTTTCACAGCATAGAAAAGTTTCTGGATTAGGGCAGAATTGACACAAAGCGGCAACGCCACTCCAGCGAGACACTCGCAAGCAACGCAGAAGAGGCAACGAGGGGGGAGACCGAGACACTCGAGCGAACGCCACCTCAGAAAACTACAGCGATAGCCAGAGGCAGACGAGTCCATCCCAGAAAGAGAGAGAGAGAGAGAGAGAGAGGCGGCAGCAGCAGCAGCAGAGAGGCTGGGGATCTTTGCCGACGAGGTCCCTGAAGGATGGCAGAGAAGCAGTTTGCCGGGATCCTGGTAAGTTCAGCTTTTGTTCAGTAAAACGCAGTAACACAGATTTAAAATAAATAAATAAATGAATGAAAAACGCCACACATTGATGGAGGTCACTGGTGGGATGCAGCTGCCGGACCACCAGTTGATTCACCCCTCTGCCTCCTCTTTTCCCCAATTTAAGCACAAGGGGCCAGGTGGTTTTGTTTCACTGTACTTTATGGTCCCTCGCTCCAACATGCCTTTATTTTCCTGTTTTGTATGTTTGCCTTCTCTTTTTTTTTTGTAAACGATAGCAACGCACGCCTGCATTTTCCCCCTCTGAGTGATCGTTGTGTTGCCGTTTGAGCGCAGCAGGCAGAGCTGTCATCGCCTGCTGTTAGCCGAGGTGCTCAGCACCCATCCTCAACTAAACACCGCCCCCAAATCAGCACCCCTTGAGTCAGTCTTGACTTCCAGAGATGAGGCCGGGAGGTAAACGTGCCATCGGTGAAGCTTTAAATAGAGGTTTGGGGTCATTGGCAGTCAGGTCACTTCTGCCCCCCCGCCCTTTCTCTCCCTTCAGTCCCAAGTTCTTCATTCCGACTTGAGACGGAGGTAAACACAAGCTCAGAGCTCCAACTCTCCTCTGACATTCTCGCTCATTTGAAGCCTCGCTTTCCCCCTCGGTTACTTTTTTTTCTTTTTCCCGCCGCGTCCTTTTGAGATGCATATCCTCTTTATAATTCACGCGCGCCGTCTGAACTTAAGGAGGGGGGGGGGGGGGGGCTTATCAGTCTCGCCTGCTCTCTCCTCTCGCAGCACTTGAAGGCGGTTGAAGGATGGAGATTTCAGTCTAGTCCTCAGAACTTTTGTTTGTTTGTCTGCGTCAGTCAGACAGATTGCCAATCAGTTGTTTGCATAGTTAAGCGCTGCTGGAGAGTTGCAAAAAAAAAAAAGTTCTGTGAGTTTAAATGTGGCAATTTAATAGTTTCAAAAGTTTTAAATGTCACAAGGATCATTTGATTTGTTTCCCCATGGAAGACGTTTTATTGTGGATATGTGCCTGTGTTTTTTCCACAAAGTTCTGCACCTTTTTACTGCCCCTCACACCGTGTGTCTCTGAGGACGGTAAAAGTCAACTATGACGGTTCGCTGTGTGATCTGTGGAGACTGACATGGCGCCTCACAGCCACTAGGGATGAATCCTTGCACCTGACGGCACATTCTCAAACACCAAGGATACATTTTGGGGGAGAAAGAGGGCAGTTTATCATTCGATATCACCAAAATAAAAGCTTAGTAAAGTTCAATCCTTCAATTGAAAGTTAAAAACTTCAATAAAAAGTGGATTTTATCAACTCAAAAGTTGGAGCTGTGCCTTTAGGATTTGAGATTCAAATAAGCATATAGCAGTCCCACTTTCTAGGCCAGAGCCTCCACTTATCGCTGACTTTAAATGACTGCTTATTTCATTTTATTTTAAGGAATCGCTGCGGTAGGTGATGTCTTTGTTTGCTCTCCAAATCTGAGAGTTTTGTTCCCTGGCCAACACTCAGTGCCTCGTTGTTTAAGGTCAATTCACTTGATTTGGCAGGAAATAGAGAATTAAAAAGCCATTTAAAGGTTGACACAGAGAAGAAGGCACGTGACTTAGCCTCATTTAGATATTGGAGGGGAAAAAACACTTTCGATTAAGCTCAGATGAAGGCACAAGTGCACTTCTGAGCCAAAATTTAGATTTCAAATTGCCCTTATAACATTCATTGGTCACTTATTTGTCGTTTTTTGGAAGAAGAAAAAAGTAATGGAGGGGTGAGAGTGTAACCGGCAAGTCTTATCTAGGTTGGTAAACACGGGACGATTGCCCAACTCCAGCTGAAACAACGGCTCACGCACACTTCCAACAGCAGCTCCGCTCTCGTGATTGGCCACTTCTCAAGGCAGGGCCCGTTGTCCTCAGCCGCGGCAGACAGTGATGTCAGTCGTGACTCAGAGACATTGACAAAGAATGAAAGAAAGTGTGTGTGTGTGTGTGTGTGTGTGTGTGTGTGTGTGTGTGTGTGTG